GCTGGGACAGGGGTCACTGGAGCCACAGAAACAATTCCCCGAGGAGAGGCGCCGTCCGTGTCCGCCTCCCGCCCAGGTCCAGACCACGCCTTCCTGTGCCCCCACAGGCCCCCCCAGCCCCTTGGCGCCTTCATTGCTGTTCGGATTAAAGCCTCTGTTTTGCACCTGTCATCTGTGTCTTTTTAAAAAAAAAAATGTTTTTATTGATTTGAGAGAGAGAGAGAGAGACATCCGTCTGCTGCCTCCCCAGAACTTGGATCCAGCCCACAAACCTGGGCATGTGTCCTGACTTGGAATCGAACTGGCAGCCTTTCGGTATATGGATGACACTCAACCAGCGGAGCCACTGCAGCCAGAGCCATCTGTGTCACGTCACATGTTCTATCTTCACAGGACTCTGTGTCCCCCGCCCAGTCCCCTTCCCTTGGGCCCTGGAGTCCAGGGCTCGAGCTGTTTCACCGGGGTGTGGGGTGAGACTTTCGTGGGCAGCGAGGGGGTGCCCCGCAGGCATGGGAGCGGAGACCTGGGTTCAAATCCTGAGTGTCTGCACCCCAGCTCCAAGGTCTCAGGTAAATTACTGAATCCCTCCGAGCCTCAGCTTCCTCACCTGTAAACGGGGACAGTCCCAGGGCAGCTGCCGGGATGAAGGAAGGATGTGAAGTCCTCAGCCCGGGCCTGGCACGTAAGTGCGCAGTGCTCACTGTGGCTCTTCTTGGAGAAGCGGCCCCAATCTGGCCTGGGAGCCTTGGGACCGGACTTGGCTAGAAATGGGCCCCTGCAGTTTTTAGGGGTGCCCTCTCCCCCTGCACCCCTGTGTCTCATCATGGTGAGCGGGGGTCGGCTGCTGTGCCTGAGACCCCTAGGACTTCCTCCACACTCCTGCCCTGGGCGTCTGTCGCCAGCGAGGCTTCTCCTGGCCTCGAGGTCTCGCCGAGCCGGGGAGCCGCCGTCCTGGAGCCCAGCTCTGGAGTCAGGCCGCACTCTGTAGTGAGGAGCCCTGATCTGGAAAATGGGCAGAGTGGTATCTGGGGCACAGGCGGTGAGATTCGCTCCTACAACAGCTGCCTGCACCCCCCTCGTGCTAGCCCTCTCTCCTCCTCTCCCCCTCTCCCTCGCCTGCCCCCCAGTCTCCCACTCAACCTCAGTCTCATTCTCATTTGGTGGGTCTGATAGTCTTGGAGTGGGTGGGCCTTGGGTGGGAGGGGTGGTCAGGGACAGGGCTGCTCTGAGGCCGGGCCGCCTCCTGAGCCCCATGGACACCTCTGGGCTGACTGGCTTGAGCCTCTGGGGTTGTCCAGGTCCCTGGAGGCCTGAGCCGCGCAGCCCTCACCGCTCTGCTCTTTGCCTCCTTCCCGCAGTGCCTGGAGAAGTTCCCCGTGATCCAGCACTTCAAGTTCGGCAGCCTGCTGCCCATCCACCCCGTCTCACTGTGCTAGGAGGGGCTGAGTTCGCAGTTCCGGTGTCTGCACCTCCCGCCCCAGCTATGGTCCCCTCCCCCTCCCCTCTGTTCTTTCTGTTTGATGAGAGGCTGTCTGTTGGGGTGGGTAGTGGGTGCGGGTCGAGGAGGGCTCAGGGCATAAGGCTGAAATACTCAAGTTGGGAGAAGTGACCAAAGTGTGGCCAGTTTCCTGACTCCGCCAGGTGGCTGGTCCCTGGGCCGTGCCCACCCTAGCCTGCCTCTCCTCTGTCCCGTCCAGTTTTGAGATCCAGGCTGTTCTGGGCCACTGCCCCCAGGGAGGGAGGGATTTCGCTGATTTTGTTGCTCTCTCGGGG